AAAAAAAAAAAGTAAAAAGAAATAGGCAAAATTAACTTTAAAAATATATTTTATTTAACTAAATATATTCAAAATATGATTTTACTATATACTCAGTATAAACAATGATGAAGTAGTTTACATTCTCTTTTTTTCTAAATAAAGGCTTTATTTGATTAAAACATTTTTAAGTTCACAGTAAAATTGAGAGGAAGGTACAGAGCTATTCCATATATCCCTGCCCCCACATGCATACCTTCCTCATTATCAACATTCCCCACTAGAGTGGTGCATTTGTTACAACTGATGAACCTAAGTTCATTGTTGGATTATGACAGCTGTTCATGGCACATCGTTATCACCCACAGTCCACTGCTTATACTTACTAGAAAATGGAGAGACATTCCATGTTTATAGACAGGGAGATTCAATATAGCCAAGGTGTCAGTTCTTCCCAATTTGATCTATAGACTCAGTGCAATCCCAGTCTAAATCCAGCAAGTTATTTTGCAGATAACAACAAACTGATTCTAAAGTTTATACGGGGAGGCAAAAGACCCAGAATGGTCAACAGAATATTAAAAGAGAACAAAGTTAGAGGGCTGACACTATATGACTTCAATACTTATAATAAAGCTACGATAATTAAGACAGTGTGGTATTGATGAAAGAAGAGAGAAATAGACCAATGAAACAGAACAGAGAGGCCAGAATTTGACCCTGATAAATACAATGAATTGATCTTTGGCAAAGGAGCAAAGGCAATACAATGGAGCAAAGGGTCTTTTCAACAAATGATGTTGGAACAACTGGATATCCATGTACAAAAAGTACATCTACACAAAGACCACAGACCCTTCACAAAAATTATCTGAAATGAATCTTAGGCCTAAATGTAAAATGCAAACCTATAAAGCTCCTAGAAGATAAAAGGAAAAAAATCTAGATTATGGTGGGTGGGATGATGACTTTTAGATACAATACTAAAGGGACAATCTATGAAAATAAGAATTGATAAGCTGAGCTTTGTTAAAATTAATATTTGTTTCCTCCGTGAAAGACACTGTGAAGAGAATGAAAAGACAAGCCACAGATTGAGAAAAAATATTTACAAAAGACATATCCTATAAAGGACAAATATTTGCAAATTGAATATTCACAGAAGGCTTATTTCATAAAACATAAATATTTGCAAGTTGAATATTTGCAAAAGACATATCTGATAAAGAACTAGTATCCAACATATAAAAAGAACTCTTGAAACACAGTAAGAAGGGATTGGGAGTGGTGGCTCATGCCTGTAATTCCAGAACTTTGGGAGGCTGAGGTGGGTGGACCATGGGGTTAGGAGATTGAGACCATCATGGCTAACACGGTGAAACCCTGTTTCTACTAAAAATACAAAAAAAACTAGGTGGGCGTGGTGGCACACGCCTGTAGTCCCAGCTACTCAGGATGCTGAGGCAGGAGAATCGCTTGAACCTGGGAGGTGAAGGTTGCAGTGAGCTGAGATTGTGCCACTGAACTCCAGCACGGGCAACAGCAAGACTCCGCCACAAACAAGCAAACAAATAAAAAAACACAGTAAGAAAACAATCCATTTTTTAAAAATGGACCAAAGACCTTAACAGATACCTCACCAAAGATGACCTACAGATAGCATATAAGCACATGAGAAGATGTTCCATATCATATGTCATCAGGGAAATGCAAATTAAAATGAGATACCACTACATACCTATTAGAATGGCCAAAATCGAAAACAATAACAACACCAAATATTAGCGAGAACAGGGAGCAATAGGAACTCTTATTTATTGCTGGTGGGAATGCAAAATAATGATCCAGCCACTTTGCAAGACAGTTTGGCAGCTTTGTTTTGTTTTTTTTTTTTTTTAAATTTAATTTCCCACAATTACTTTTTCAGCTTCTTGCCAAACTAAACATACTCTTATTAAGTCTAGTAATCACACTTCTTGGTATTTGTACAAAAGAGCTGAAAACTTATATACATGCAAAACCTGCTATAAACAAAGATGTTTTTCTGGGCGTGGTGGCTCACACCTGTAATCCTAGCACTTTGGGAGACTGAGGTGGGTGGATTACCTGAGGTCAGGAGTTTGAGGCCAGCCTGGCCAACATGGCGAAATCCCATCTCTATTACAAATATAAAAATTAGCCAGGTGTGGTGGCATGCACCTGTAAACCCAGCTACTCAGGAGGCTGAGGCAGGAGAATTGCTTAAACACAGGAGGCAGAGGTTGCAGTGAGCCAGGATCATGCCACTGCATTCCAGCCTGGGCAACAGAGTGAGACTCCATCTAAAAAAATAAAGTAAAATAAATAAAAAATAAAAGAACACAGATGTTTATGGCAGCTTTATTCATAACTGCCGAAACTTGGAAGCAATCAGGATATCCTTAAGTGAATAAACAAACAAACTGGGGGGGTGGGGTAGAGGGGAAAAAAGAATTTTAAATAAAAAATAAAAAGAAAAAAAAATCAACAAATTGTGATACCTCCAGACAATAGAACATTATTCAGTGCTAATACAAAATGAGCCATTAAAAAGAGGAACTTTAAATGCATACTGCTAAGTCAAAGAAGCCAATCAGAAAAGATTACATACTATATTATTCCAACTACGTGACATTCTGAAAAAAACTATGGAGGCAGTGAAAAGATCAGTGGTTTCCAGGAGTTAGGGAGGAGAGAGGGATGAATAGCCAGAGCACAGAGGATTTTTAGGGCACTAAAAATACTCTGTATGATACTGTAATGGTAGACATATGTCATTATAAATTTGCCCAAACCCACAGAATATTAGAATTAATGCTGGTATATTAGAGCCTATACGGCGCCTCTGCACTCCACTCTGGGTACCTCTGCACTCCACTCTGGGTGACACAGCGAGACTCCATCTCAAAAAAAAAAATAAGAAAAAGAAAAATAGACAACCTGAATAAACTTATATCCATTGAGGAAATTGAATCAATATTTAATAACCTTTCAAAAAGAAAGCACCCAGGCCCAAATGGGTTCATCGGTTTATTGGTGAATTCTGTCAAGCATTTAAGGAATAAGTTATACCAATTCTCTACAATCTATCCCTTTCAGAAGATAGAAGCAGAGGGGGTACTTCCTAACTCATTCTATGAGGCCAGAATCTACCCTAATACCGAAACCAGATAAATAAATTACAAGAGCTGGATGCAGTAGCTCATGCCTGTAATCCCAGCACTTTGGGGCCAAGGTGGGTAGATTACTTGAAGTCAGGAATTCGAGACCAACCTGGCCAACATGATAAAACCCTGTCTCTACTAAAAATACAAAAATTAGTCAGGTGTGGTAGTACACACCTGGATCTCAGCTACTCAGGAGGCTGAGGTGTGAGAATTGCTTGAACCCAGAAGGCGGAGGTTGCAGAGCTGTGATGCACCACTGCACTCCAGCCTGGGCAACAGTTCAATACCTCTCATTAAGACAGACGCAAAATCCTCAACAAAATAGCAAATTGAATTCAACAATGTATAAAAAGAATTATCCACCATGATCAAGTGGGATTTATCCCAGGTATGCAAACCTGGTTCAACTTAAAAATCAATTGATAAATCAAGCTAAAGAAGAAAAATCATATCATCACATCCATAAACACAGAAAAAGCATTTGATGACATATTAAAATGGGGTTTCGCTATGTTGCCAAGTCTGGTTGAACTCCTGGGCTCAAGCAATCCACCTGACTTGGCCACCCAAAGAGCTGGGATTATAGGTGTGAGCCACCAAAGCCAGCCTAATTAACTCTGTAGTGTTTCCAATGCTTTAACTTTCTTTCTTTGGATTAAGGAAACCCAGATTTTTAAAATTAGGCCTGTTTTCAACCTTAATAAAATTCATGAAAATTTTTTGAAGCTCTGTAGGAGAGCCCACATTGAGGATTGTCAGCTCATTCAATGTGCTCATGTTTAGATGGGTGACATTCCTACTCCTCTTTGGCATTTGCTTTTATTTTAATTCTCTTCCTACTTGTGAAAAATGTCCATTTGCTATAAGAATACATGGATTCTAGATGAACAGGACATTCTTAATTCAAATCCCACTCTTACTTGGGTTCTGATAGAGCGGAATAGATTTGCTTCTCCAGAAAATAACCAAATTTAGAACTCCATTTATAAGTCTGGTCATGGATATCTCCGGTGGTTTTTCCTATCCTGTGTCACTGGGATTCTCCAAAGTGGCTTTGCTGCAAACATGTTTCTTCACAGAATGAGTAATTAAGTCAAGTCCTCTGAGTAATTATTTTTCTTGGCTGAGACAAGGATTAGATGCTGCCAGCATCGTTCTTCTCTCCTTGCAGGTGGTTGTGCAATCATTCCATTTCTGAGTAATCTCAGATGCATTTTAGAACACTCTGAAGTCCCTTGAAACATTGATAAAGGCAAGGAATATCAGAAAAGCATAAGTGAAGGCATTTTAAATGGGTGAACATTTATAGTTGGTAAGGAATGGTTGAATGAAAGCAAAAGCGCTTTCATCTACATTTTTAAAGAGGAGTGTTTATTATTATTGGGTGTTTGTATTCCTAAAA